CACATGGAACAACAAAGGGTAAGTTAGTGAAAAGAATCAACATACATATATAAATAATACATGAATGGTAAACAGCTACAGCTATCAGCACATCATCAGCATACAACTCATCAGATATACAACATAAACAACAATAAACACACAATGCATCGTTATGCATATCAGCTAGAATTGATCGCTTGTAAGCGGTATAACTCGACTTGGCCCCTATACCGTAGTCGCTTTGTACACGTGTGCCTCGACCTTGCCCACACACGGGACCACTAAGAACTTAGAGGAGAACAACAAGTTACCACTCCAAGAGTCAGCTTTCCAGGGAGGGTTTTTAACAAATTGGGCTCTAAGAGCACGATAGCCACTCAATCCACACAATGGGATGAGAAAATTTTGAAAACATCTCCTCTAGTCTTAGTGATCAACAGCTCAGCCTTACGGCCTACAACAGCTCAGCCTTATGGCCTACAACAGCTCAGTCTTACGGCCTACAACAATTTATATCAGCATGTAGCACAGCACAGCATAGCAGCAATAACAGCATACAGCACAGTTAAACATCTTACAGCACAACAATATACATCAACTACAACTCAACATCATAATTTAGCATTATTAACTAGTCAGCACAGCAATATTTAACATTTATAGCTCAACTCAGCATATAACAACATCTATCAGCAATTCCAGCATAATTCAACACATATCAGCATATAAGTACACATCATATCCGCGCCCGGTGCACTCATGGTCGCGTCCGGCATGGCACAACCAGAGAGCACCAGGGACTAGTGCGCCTAGCGCAATTCCTATTGCACCCGGCGCCACCTCTGGCAGAGACTCCCAAGGAGCCTCCATGCCCGGCGAGACGGGTCACGCCCAGTGTCACACCAGAACCACACAATACCAAGTCACTTCCTGATATCGCGTCCAGCACGGCCCCACCACGCCCGGCGTGGCCATCCAGAGGCTCACATTCTCAAGCTCGCTCGGCGCACACATCTTTGCACCCGGCGGGCTTGCCCAAATGGAGTCCTCTAGTAGTCACGCGCCCGGGGTGAAGAACTGCGCCCGGCATGATGCTCAACAACAACCTTCAAACTTTCAAAATTTTCTTCAAGACCTGCAAAATCAACCAGAAAACCAACTGCAAACCATCTAAAAGCTCACATTTTCATCAAACATCAAGAAAAACATCCCATTTTCAGTATGCAACCACAAAATCATTACAATCCCCAAAATTCACCCAAAACCCCGAAAACGAGTTTTCATCACAGCAGCTCAAAATCTTTGAAATCTCAGCAATCCGTGAGTCCTAGCTCACTACATCAAACAACCGGTAAGAAATCCTAACTTCCCTTACCTCGGTATGAAGAATCCGAGCTCCGGGAAGAAGGAGAACGAGAGAGAAGACGAAGACGAGCTTGAACGAAGAAGAGAAGAAAAGGAACGTCCACACCTCAGCAAGTCCAAACTCTAAGAATCAACACCTAGACCACCATAGCAACCAAAATCAGAGGATAAGGGGGAGAGAAGAGAATAGAGAGTTTGAGAGTTGAGAGGGAGAGAAGTGAGGAAAAACAAGCCACGAGTCTCACAATAAAGATGATAAACAATATCTTTAATCATATAAAAAGTGATTATTAGATGAAATGCAATAAATAATCATATTAAATACACCAATAGACACATCATTATAGATAAAAGAATGAAAAATAAAAACGTAGCAAGTCCACAAAGAGGATATGACATTTGTAATAATCACCAAGAATTAAACAATTGGTCTTGATGATTAAGATAAATCAATATAAAATCCTTTGTATTCATTGATTTGTCTCCATCCTTCGATATGTGTGTTTAATTCTCTTATGAAAAATTGTTGATGTTTTTTGGGAGATACAACTCAACCTCTTGCTTGTATTTCTCTTAGCTCTACAGGCATCTCACCATGCTTGGAGATGTTTCCCATACTTTGGCACTTATCACACCTGTTAGCATGATCATACGCAACTGTAAATAGAGTAGGACAAAAGAATACACATTAGAGTACTTCAGTTGTTGTCCTCTCCCTATTAAAATGGCAACCATAGAGAGAGTTGTGATAATGCCACATGATTTCCTTTGCCTTTTGATGTGCAACACACCTCTTCAATAAGTTGTTAGTTTCAACTTTCAACAGTGGAAAAACAATGTTCCACATTTCATTTTTTATGTTTGTTGTTGTTCAACCGACATCATGTAAGACATTGTGGCATGCTTGTATATAGTTGTCACCATTTTTAAATTTTAAGTTGTGCGTCTTGGTTTTTGTCACTTCTCTGCACCATTTGTTGCGTCTTTGCTTCTCAGCCTTTACGGCGTCGCGCTTTCTCTGATTTTCGTCATTCCCTTTGATCCATCTATTGGTTGTGCTACTCTACATTGTTCATGTTGATACAATAGTGTCACATGTAGGTTAAGGTTTTGATTCTTTCTTTTCTGCTGCAACATGTCTTCCCTTATCTTAACCCATTCAAGTTCACCAAAAGCCACATGTTCCTTTGATTTGAGAATTCAATAGCAAAGTAAAAATTATTTGCTCTTTCGCAAATTTAGGTCTTTTTGGGTGTTTCTTTATTTAATATTGATTAATTTGAATATTAAATTTACACATTTAAAATTTAAATTAACTTAAATTAAGGTAATTTATTTATTATTATTTTTTATTGGATTAATAATTAATATATATGTATTATTTTGATTATTTTTTTAAAAATATTTTTGTGTTATAATATTTTTATTCTTTTTTTTTAAATACTTAAAGTAAATTAAGAATAATTATATTATAATATAATAAATTTCATTTTTATACATCGCAATACATTTGAAATTCTTCAATAAGTTAAAAAAAACTTGTAAATTTATTAATTTAATTAATTTTTAACAATATATCAATTTAGTTAATATTGAAAAAATTATTTACTTAAAAAATTAAATATTTTTAAAAAAATCATTAAATATTTAATAAATCAAATTAAAATGACTCAACTGACATCGGATTAATTTAATTCAAATTTAAAAAAAAAATCGTGAAATTCGAATCAATCCAAATTAATTGATTGAAATTGAATTTTTATTCAAACCCAATTAATACCTCTAGGCAAAGTAGATGGTGTGGTGTCACTGTAAATTTTATTTTACATATTTGTACATTGATTACTTTTTAACCGATGTAAAAAGCAATCAATTTTTACATCGAGCTCATTTATTTTGTCTGCATAACCAATGTAGAAAGCTTAAAATAATTGATTTCAATGGTTTGTCTCCCACTTGTGTTTTGAACAAGTTTTGGTTTTGTTCTGTGTTTTATATTTTATCTTTCTAAAATCTAAATTTGCTAATTTTGATTAGTCTCTAACAATCACTTTAAAATTATAAATAACATTTTTTTAAAGATTTATAACAAAATGTAAAGGTGTTACGCATTAACATTATACAAACTTTAAACAGTTGTGGATTATATGGCTGAGGATAATCAATTAATATCATAATACGCACAAGTAACGAGCAATTAATAAGGCTCGTATAATAGTAGGGATCAAACTAAATATAGTAATTACAAATTTTAGAGAGATAAAAAAATTATAGAAATTAAAATTAAAGTTTATAAATTTTGCATGAATTAATGATATATTTAACTCTAAAATTATTTAGAAATATATAAATATTATGAAATTTAAATTTAGGTGAAACAAAAAATGATCAAATGACAGATTAAAATTATATTTTAATATTTTTTTTGTCAACTCAATGCAGAACTTCAAATTTTCTACCAAATTTTTATCAGAAATCCTGCTCAAATTATAAATGAGAAAACGTAAATCAAATTTAAATAGAATCTAAATATACAGATACAAAAGTAAAATATTTAAAATCATCAGAAATTTGATTTAATATTTCAAACGTTCAAATTTAATTCTCAAGAACTACGTTGTCATGGACATCAATCCATATAATGATTAAAAAAAAGTTGGACATCCTAGGTCGTTTAAAATTTATACGATATGTAAATATTTTATGGGATAAGTAAGGTAATATTTTAATATGCTGTCAAAAAGAAAATCTATGCCTCCTTTTTTTTTCTTGGCCGTTAATTTGAGTACTTCTTGATCGATGCATCGCACGATATAAAATCTAATTATAAATTATATATTTTTTATTAAGTAAATGAATGACAATGAATTAAAAATATTTTAACATATATTTTAATTAAAAATATATTTCAAAGTTTTACAATAAATATTTTACAGTGCTACAAAGTTAAATACTCTAAATTATATATTTTAATATAATAGGAGGATGATAATATAATACTTAACATGAATTACCCTCCTCACTCTTAAAAGATGCAAATATTATTCTTTTATATATTAAAATATCAAATAAATGAATTGAATTGTATATTATAAAATAAGAAAAAAGAGAAATATAATATTCTTATCTCTCATGAAAGGATAATGTAATTTATCATATATTTTTATATTGGATAAAATAACTAATTTTAAATAAAATAAAAACTTAACACATAAATAAAAAATATTAACAATTTAAAAAAAAAAATTTACAAAAGAACTTTCAATTTAAAAAGATTTTTAAGTTAGAAAATGAGACAATTAATGATATAGAAAAATCATACTTGATAGGAGTACTCATATCATATACACTAGACACATATACCAAAAGAACCCAATATTTAAGATGTGAAATATGGAAAGTCATAATAAAATATGATCAATCATAAACTTCCATAAAGCAAAATAGCATCCACCCAAGGTCCCAATAAATTAAGGAAACAATGTAATGTAAAGATGGATTAAAATATATGATTCTTTAATTAACGAAAGAATCATATTTTTAACCGATCTACAAACATCACGTTTCCTTCTTTACATATATACTTGTGAAAAGTTCGCAGAGTACTATATTTTCACGTATGTTTGGTTTCCATAGCACATAATTGAGAAAGAATGGACTCACAGCACTACCACTCAGAGCACTACCACTATCGCGTTTCAAGGCTGAATGAGGAGCACACGACGCCTATGGCCGGTGACAGCTTCAAATTCAGCATAAGAGTTTCATCATACTCAATGGATGCAGACATGATGAATACAGGCACAGAACGGTTACTGTACTATTCTCCATCTCAATGCATTCCCTGCCATCACTTCTTTCAAGAGGGTCAACACTTCTTGAGCACACTCTTGTCACGGATACACTTCTCCATTAATGATTCTCTTGAGGAATTAGCACGAGGGGTCATGTCAGCTGTTCAAGATTTCTTCCAAGTTGATCAAGTTGCTTCCCCTTCTCCTTCTTTCCAATCTCAACACCGAGAGATCCCTTTACGCTTGGAAATCTTACAGTTGTATGATGGCATTAGTGCAGCAATGGAGGAGTCCATGCAGTGTTTCAAAATGATTCCGGCTTCCAACGAAGCCATCCAAACGTTGTTGAAGAAATCCACGGTTGTGATGGGGAGTGAGGGTTGTCCTATATGCCTTGAGGAGTTGGATGTTAATGCTGAATGCTGCACAATGCCATGCCATCATGTCTTTCATTTACAATGCATTGTCACTTGGCTTAAAACCAGCCATGTGTGTCCCTTGTGTCGTTACCCTTTACCTACCCTCAAGAACTAGCAAAGCATTTCAGTTATGTTCATGTAATTTTGGTTCAACAAGACTTGCATTGTAATGTATTTCTTTGTTGACTATGTATCAAGACCATGCAATACATTTTTGGTTATTCTATTGAATGGATTATTTTGGTTGTTATTCGTCTTGGTTTTTTGTTTTTTCCTGTGCATTTTACGGTTTGACTTTATCTTTTAAGTTTTCTGCAGGAAAATAAAGAGGAAATCATATTTTTCAATATGTACTTGTATATACTATATGTTGACACGGAAAATTTCCTTAGACTTGTGCATAATCTGATATAAGAACGTTTTAAGCCTTCATCTCAATCTTGTTTACTCGTGTAAATGTATGGCCTCTAACTATTGTTGTAGTGGCTGTTGTGTGTACGTGCGTTTAGATATTGTCTATGTACGATAATCCTTGTGTTTCATGTTTGATTTTGTGTGCGTGGTGTGTTTATAAAATAACTGAGGACATTGAAAATGTGTTTCATAAGGGGGCAAAATTTGAAAGAAACTCAAATTTGTTAAGTTGTTATAAAAGTGGCAAAGCATATCATAAAATGTCAAGGTAGGTGTGCACTTAATTACTTGACAGAGAAACCCGCTTTAAGGAGCTTGGAAACAATGCATATACAAAAGCTACAAGGGGACAACGAGGTTATTACCTCTGTTTCACATTGAAGTATTCAAAACTCTATGGGTGCTTGTTGCTAAGGTAATGCAATAAATATGTTTTGGCTCTAATATCTCTCACTTATCCAAAACATATGCAATTGCAAGTGTAATCTCCCAAGTGTTATTAGCTTGATGGATTAGCATTTTTGTTTTTTTAAGGGTGGATAGAAAATGAGAGGTAGATGTCACTTACACTATAATTGAATTGACTTATATTCTTCACTTGTGACAAACATGTGCTTCCCAGGTCATTTTACTCCTACTTATAATTGTTTTAGTTCAAACTTCTTATCAAATAGTATTTACTGATTTACTAATTCCCAGTCTAACTATTTTACTTCCACTCTTAAGATTTAACAATTCTTTTAAGTCACCAAATGGCTTATCACTTAGTTTCCTTTAAAGGTGATACAAAAGCATGAAACTCCACTGGTTTTAGCTCTGTTATGCAGAACTGATATGGTTTTGCTGCATAATGACCCATTTGTGACTTAAAAACTATTATATCAAAAGTTATAGACAGTATAAGATTTGGTGTAAGGTTTAAACTTACACTTGGTGTCAATGGATCCTAACTCATTATAAAATGTCAAGGTTGATGTAATTAAGAAGGTTGATGTGTACTTAATTACATGACATAGAAACCTCTTTTAATGAGATTGGTGATTGTGCTTGAGAGTCTTAATTAGAATCTGTTTGAATATAATTTAAAAGGGATTTTGAGAACCCTCCAATCCTCCTAGGATCTCTTAAGCTTGTGACCTTAAACTCGAGTAGTTGAGATAGCTTCTTGCCTTTAATAGAGTTCATGTTGCAAATGTAATGATTGAGATAAGGTAGTTCTACCTATATGTTTTGGCCAACTATTAGTATTAAAGAAGTCTTGGAAGCTTTTGGAACTTCTTAACACTCCTAACATTTAAGCAATAAAAATAAAGACTAGAAAATGAAACAATAATTACAAAGGGTGGAAGTCTTAAGTAAACACTTAAAAGCTATTAAGACCACTTCCACAAAGAAAGGTCAATTTCCAACAAATTAAAGCAATCAAAAGTAAAATCTTATAGTCTCCCAAGTGTTTCTCTCTTTCCTTGGAGTTTACTATCAAACTCTTCTCAACCTCCAAGTATCATCAAATGAGTAGATTCTCTTAGAATTTCATCAACAATTCAAGACACTACCATGTGATAAGTGTTATTGATTATCCCTTCTCTTGAAAGTTAGCATACAAATGGACTAAAGGAAATTTGAAAGACAAACAAGAAAAGATACAATTAGAAATGGTTAAACTCAAGAAGAAATAAAATGAAAAACTCAAATTTAACAAAATAACAAACTAGAATTATAGGTATTTTTAAAGCTTACACACAAAAGAAAGTCAAAGATTGTTCCTAGATTGGATATTACAAAAAATGGTAATAAGACTCAAAAGAATTCAAGTATTTGTAATTGCAATTTCAAATCATATTTTGTGGGACAAATATTAGAATGAATTGTATTTTTTTTTTTTTAATTTCAACCTCCACTAATTTCTTTTCTACTCAAATTGAAATATTTTTCTTGTAGCTTTTCTTACACCTTGATTTCTTTTTCATTTAGAGTTAGTTGTGACTTTTTTTAATCCAAATTTTGTCTCAAAATATTTTCAAAATAATTTGAAATTAAAAATTGTAATTAATTGAAAAACAATTAAAATTCAAATCGAATCATTTGGTAATTTTTACTCTAGATTGGCATGTACAGGGAGTATTAGGCAACTAGGTTCAATGTATCATATACATGCATGCACTACACTTTTGAATTTTAAATTTCAAATTAAAATCACCAAAGATTGAATTCAAATTTTGAATGCAAACATTTTTAAGTTCTCAAAAATATTTTTAGACAACTATGAAGACACAACAAAAAATTAACTCTAAGAATTTGATATTGATCTAAGAATATTTTTGGTGTGTGTATTTTTTTTTACCCTTTTACTCTTTAATTTGTTTAATTACCTTTTATTCTTTATTTAATTTATTTAACTAATACACTGTTTCAAAGCTAATTGCACAATTTCTTAATTTTATTATTTTTATTTTATTTTATTTTTTCATCTTTTATGACAAGATACTAAGGACCTCACTTTCACTAGTTAGTAATAAAATAAATAAGGCTTAAATATCCTTTTGTACATGTTTTTCGATCCTATAATTTTTTACTTAATTTTTAGTTATTGTAATATTTTCTGTTGCTGTGTCTTTTTTTTAATTTTTTTATATTTTGAATAACATGTTAAACATTTAAAAATTGTTTCAAGTGAATTTAAGTCATTTTATGTTTAACGCATCATTCAAAATAATGAAAAATGTCACAATAAGAATTATAATAAAAAAAATGTGTACATGGATCAAAAGTTAAGTAAAATATTTTTTGGAACCAAAAGAAAAAAAAAGTTATATTTTAGAGATAAAAATATATTTAAACTTATATTATTTTTTAAAATTGTCTTTTAAAAAAAAAAGTATAATCTACTCTAATTTCTTTTCTTTTTTCATATACAAAAACTACATACCAAATTATCCACACACACCACAAAAATGATAATACACATTAATACTTTATTTGTTTAAAGAGAAATAGATAAAAAGTAAGACAAAAAAAATAAAAATAAGTGAGATTATTTATTTAAAAAAATAAAGAATAAAAAATTAAAAAGTGATTATTTTCTTATTTATTTATTTTTCTATCTCTTCTTTTATATATATATATATATTATTTATCTTTAATTAAACAATCAAATTTTTATTTTATTTTATTTTTATTTATTTCTACTTTTTTTTTATACTTTATTTCTCATCTACTTTTTTTTTCTTTTCATTTTTATCAAACATGCATCAAGATCTTCTTCAAGCAATACTGGCACCAAGTGAGGAAAGTTGTCATGGGTATGAAAACCTTCACAACACCTGGTCCTGATGGCTTCCCGTCGTTCCTCTTCAAGCAATACTGGCACTTGATTGGCAAAGATCTTTGGGGCATGGTGCGAGATGCATTCAGTAATGGTAATGCTGATCCAAGGCTATTAGACACTCTAATCACCTTAATCCCTAAAGTGACAACCCAACAACGTTGAAGGAGTTTCGCCCCATCAACTTATGCAATGTTGCTTATAAAGTGATCTCGAAAGTCCTCGTGAACAGAATGAGACCACTCCTACAAGATATTATTAGCCCCTTCCAAGGTAGCTTCCTACCTGGCCGAGGTACGAAAGGCAACTCCATTCTTGCTCAGGAAGTCCTTCATCACGTCAATCGCAACACCAGCAAGGTGGGGTTGGTCGCAATCAAAGTGGACCTAGAAAAAGCGTACGATCGTGTCAATTGGGAATTCCTACGTCAAACCCTGCTAGATTTCAGATTTCCCGTTAGAATCATTAATCTGATTATGTGGGGAGTCCGTGAGACTTCTCTAACTATCCTTTGGAATGGTTCAAAGCTAGACCACTTTCACCCATCTCGAGGTCTTCGTCAGGGCGATCCTCTGTCGCCATATTTGTTTGTGCTATGCATGGAAAAGCTGAGTTTACAGATTAATCATAGGGTCATGAAGGGGGAGTGGCTCCCGATCACTCTTTCACGTGGTGGTCCTCCCCTCTCTCATTTACTATTTGCAGACGATGTCCTTTTGTTTGGAAAAGCATCCACTGATCAAATGTAGATAATAGCAGCTACTCTACAGGCGTTTTGCATGGAATCGGGCCTCAAGATCAATTTGGGTAAGTCTAGGTTCCTTTGCTCGAAGGGAGTCAGCCATGGACGAAAGGAGGATCTAAAGGTGAGCTTAGGTATATGCCACACCAACAACCTTGGCTTGTACCTAGGGTTTCGAACACCACGGGGAAGAGTGACATCCACAGAGTTCAACCACTTGGTGACACAAATACAGGGTCGGCTAGCATCTAGGAAAGGTAAGCTTCTAAAGAAAGTTGGTCGCCTTTGCTTAGCAAAATCCGTATTAGCTGCTATCCCGAAGTATACAATGCAACTTTTCTGGTTGCCACAAAATATATGTGATACCATTGATAGATTGTGCAAAGCCTTGCTTTGGTCAACGTCGGGATCTACCAGGTGTGGAACATCTTTAGTTGGAAAGAAATTATAAAACCAAAATCCGAGGGTGGCTTAGGCATGAGAGATACTAGAGCTGCGAATATATCCTTACTGGGAAGCCTTGTTTGGGATCTTTTGCAGACTACTGATAAGCCTTGGGTGCAGGTTCTTACACATAAATATCTCCAACAAGGCTCCATTTTGAATCACTCCCCTCCCCCTGGAGCTTCCTATGTGTGGCGCAGCATTAACAAAGCTGCTTTGGCCTTACAGGCATCTTTTGGGCCTCGCCTAGGCACGGGACAATCACAATTTTGGTACGCAAATTGGCTTGGGACCGGCCCTCTATGCCAACAGGTGTCTTTTATGGATATACACGATTCCCAGCTACGATTACTCGAGCTTTAGGACCCAGATGGTTGGCAACTACAACGTCTACACACGTGCTTGCCTCAACATCTTGTGGAGCGAATTCAACAAATCACAATCCTTGAGAATCAGGTGGGCGACGATAGAATTGCTTGGTTTGGAAGTAACAATGGAGTGTTTTCTGCATTGTCAGGTTACCATTATATCCTAGGCCACGGTAATCCTACAGATAGGATTTGGAGAAAGCTTTGGAAGCTACCAATCCCTGAAAAACTAAAGTTTTTTCTTTGGCAAGTTTTGCAAGATGCTCTTCCCACGAACCACAAAAGATTTACGTGCCAACTGGCTCTGTCTCCAGCTTGCACGCGTTGCTCTGCGATTGAAGAGACCACCCTTCACGTGCTCCGCGATTGCCCACATTCGAGGGAACTATGGTATCGGATGGGCATTGCTTCTACGACAATGATGTCAACTCTCAACCTACATCCTTGGCTTTGGCATATTTTCAATCATGAAAAGCGACTTTTGATCTTATCTACACTTTGGTGCAACTGGAAATGGCGAAATACCCAGGTAATCGCCAACACCTCCTGGAGTGTCACGTATGTTAGTCAACTAGTTCGACGACAGAAGCTTGAGTGTCATCTTTATTGCTCAAAAACACCCCAGGAGCAAGATGGTTACTGGGCCCCTCCTGGCCAGGGAGACGTGAAACTTAATGTGGATGGCTCTTGCTCTAACCAAAAGTCAATGGGTGGCGGAGGTGTTCTCCGGGGTGGCCGTGGAGATTGGCAATTTGGATTCTCCACATGCTATGGCCAAGGCAGTCCTTTTCTCGCAGAAATTCTGGCAATAAGGGATGGACTGATGCATGCTTGGAGGTTGGGGTATAGAAATATAACCTGAGACAATGACTATATGGAAGCAGTAGATGCAATCAATATTTCTTATATGAGAGAGCTATCACTGCATGCGCATAAGGATAAACTTTTGCAAATACAAAATATTTTAAAGAAGCACTGGAGAGTGAAAATCGTGCATATCCCTCGGGAGTGGAATACAGTGTCGGATTGCTTGGCTCATGAAGGGGCCAATGGTTTGATTAAAGAATTCATTACTCCTCCACCCCTAGCCCTTGAAGCTTTCCTTCAAGATCTAGCGAATGTAGGCTAGTTAGTTACATACTGTTTTTTTTCTTATTTTCCTTTCTCTACCAAAAAAAAAAACATGCACAAAGAAAGTTTGCCCTTTATGACATGGGATTGTGCTGGTTCTCTCTTTTGCGTCTACAACAACGATGCCAGTAAGCTCCACTCTCTGCTCTGTTCTGCGTTTTGGACTTTTGCAACCTAACCTTCCCCATTGTTACCAGTTGGAAATTTTGGATCAAATACCGACCCAACATCATTGATCATTCTAATCTTTATATTGTAGTGTTACTTTGAGTGCGTTCTTCGTGTTAAAATATGTGAAACTCCATCTTTCTCGTGCTACATTGTGTAATTCTTCCCATCGCTCTTCATTTTAGTTTTTCGTTATTTTAAATCCCTCTGAAAATGGCACCATATTAGGGTTCTCTGTTTTGGGGACATATCCTCTAGTTTTCAAAAAAATTCATTCAATACTTATAGCTATATGAAAATCATTTGATTTGATTTTGCTCGTGCTTTTGTTTTGTAAAAATTTAAGAGTAAAATTGTCTAAAAAAAAATGTGAAGATGAAAAAGTAGTTATAATCTTGTATTTCCTTTATATAGTGATATAGATGAATTTTTAAAACTTCACATTCTGCAGTTCTAGTGACTCACTAGATAAATTTGTTGACTCCTTAGTTGGGCTTCCAAAGTCCCACTCAACATTTCCTTTAAAGTTGACACATGTATCAGATGAGTTCAATGCTTTGTTGCATTAATATGCTCTAACATAATTGTAACTTTTATTGTTTACTTCAGATGCTTTTTTTATGCAGAAGACATTTTTATGTCACTGTAGATAACATCGTTAGAAGAGTCTTTGTAAATCTAGTATGAGAAAAGCACAAGCTTTAAGCCTCCAATTTCAATTGTCATTGGTGATGAAAGCTGCCACCCCATGGCTCTCGGACATGCTTTGGCAAAGGAGCTGTTGAGTATGAGAGATCACTTTAAATTGGTGACCCCGAATTCAAGTGGAAACCTCCTCAAGATGAGTGGCAGAGCATTACTTTGGGTTGCACATCTAGTACTACTGCTAGTCCTGATGGTGTGGTGTTATACTACCGTTTGGGGGTATGAATGAAAGTGTTGTGTATCATGTTTCATTGCAATGACTAGTGTCTAGTGCTATCCTTGGATACTTGCAGCTCTTTGCGTGACTAACATTTGTCCTCGGGTTGTGTTCATGCTCCGCAAGGGAGTGATTGAGACTAATTTTGTTAAGTAACATGATGTTCATGCCTTATGGATGTTTTCTAAATCTACCTTGAAGTTTGATGCTATAGTTAATGTTTGTAGAAGAAATAGATATGGCCTCATTGACCACAAGTTAATCGGTCTCTTAAATAATAGTGAAATAGTTGAAAACTTAAATTAGTTTACACCAACTTAAATAATTGTTGTTTTTACTAGCTTAGTTTTTTAAGTTATCTTCAAGATTTTTGATTAACCTAGTGATTTCAGGTCTGCGTACACGTGTTCGCTTTGGGTTTTCTAAACCAAATGGCAAATGGTCTTGTAAAAGACAACATCTACGTGTGTGGAAGGTGTTGCTGTAGTTTCTGATCATTGGATATGATGCTTCTGCAACATACAAAAAGGAACAAGAAGGTTTTTCCCAAGAGGAATTGCTCGAGAGAAATGCTTTAACAGCTAAAAAGTTCACTCAATTATCAAATGGAAAGAGGTCTTATGGTGAGTCCTTGAGCTCAAATTATAGTTTCTCTGTATTTAGCTGGAGCTTTGGTGTTAGGACCATAACCTATTGATTGTGAGTCTGTGATGACAAGTCAGAAGCAAATTATGTTAAAAATTTTGGTAAAATGTGAATTCAGTTAGATGAATTCATGTTTTGGATTAAAAAGTTGTTTTGAGAGTAATAGAACTTTCAAGTCTTATAAATAAAGAATTATTGAAGAAGTTAATTTCGTTATACTATGAATATTCATAATTTAAATATTATTATATCTTATATTACTTGTTTTCTTTTGTTAATGGCCAGATCAGGGAGGGTGACATGGACACATTGCAGGGAACACATGTACAAACTAAAAGGTAACATCTTCTCTGATCTATTAATTTTGTTGTAGTTGATTGTTACCGTGAATACAAAGGGAAAAGGAAAACATGCATTTTTCTTGTATTGACGTTTAGATTCCTATATATACATGTTTCATTTGACATTTACTTTAAGAAAATGTTATCAAGTGCTGTTATAATACTTTAACATTCAGGAATGCATATAGAAAATATATAAGAAAACTAGAAAAGTATTAAAAACTAAAGAAATTTTATTATAAATAATTATATTATTATAACTTAATTATATTATAATTAAATTTAAAGAATACAAACTTAATTAACATTATTATAATAAATAAAAATGAACGATAAATATTAACGAAATAGGAAAAAGAAATCACCTTGCAAACGGGCCTATAATCTAGTTATACTAATTAAGAAATTGGCTTGTGCTTTTAGTCCTCCAACTTTAGACTATATATTCTTTTGGTCTCCCAAATTTTGAATTTGTGTTTTTAGTTCTAAAAATATAAAAAATATTATTTGGTCCCTCAAATTTATTTATTTTTTATTTCTTTTAACTTTAAATAATATTGTTATTACTCACTAACATAACTAATAGTGATAAATTGAAAGGAACTAGAAATCAAGGTTGTCAAACTTGAGAGTCTACACAAACTCGTGGAGCTCTCGTAGACTCGTAAGAGTCTACCTAATATTAAAAGATATTAAAAAATACGAACACACATAATATGATATCACTAATTCAACATTCTAAGTCTGAAATAAGTCAAATAACAACAATAAAATGTCATAATACAAATCTTAACCATACATGAACAACCGAAAGTCCAACATACGTGACGAACAACTCATCGAAAATTGCAGGGACGACGCCAGAAGCTACAACGACAGCACTGGGCGGATAGAACGAAGTCAGACGGTGTTGTTTTCGTAAGCGGCTGATGGAGAGAGACCGAAGAACGCAGCGGAGGCAAAGTGTTGTTTTTGTATGTGGCGGAGGGAGAGAGATCGAAGAAAATAGAGAGGGGCTTAGAAACCCTCTCTGAAACGACGTCGTTTTGGGTATTTAGAGGGCAAAAAATTAACCTAAAGTTGACTCGCAGACTCGCCCTCAAACTCGTGATTCTGAGCGAGTCTACCCGAGTCCACCCGAGTCTATCAAAAACCGATTCTATTCGTGAGTTAACCAGTTTTGCTACCCTAGACTCGTAAACTCGTACGAGTCTGAGTTAACTTGCGAGTTTGACAACCATGCTAGAAACATAAGTTTTAAATTTGAGTGATTAAAATAATATTTTTAAAAAATTTAGAGACTTAAAGCACATGTTTTAAATTTGAAATATATATATATATATATATATATATATATATTCCAAATTTAAAGAACTAAAAACATATTTAACAATATAGATAATATAATTTAAATATTGAAAATATTTTTGAACTTTAATTATATAAAAAATTATCATCTATAATTTATAATTAAAATATTAATTGATATATTATTATGTATTTTCATCGTTATGTATTTCTTAAAAGTTTATGTGATTGCCATTGTTTTCAAATTAAATAATTATTTTGCATTCTCAAATTTTCATTGTTCAATTTTTCAGAAATTGAAAAAAAAATAATTTTAAATGATTTTTTAGAATTAATATTTAAATATGCAATAATGCTAAAAAATGATTTTATAAATTTATAGGTATCATTATAATCAAGTCAAAATTAAAAATACAAAATTATGAGTTTTATTTTATTTTAATTTTTTAGAATTTCTCCTATTAAAATAAAATTAAGTATGAATTGTTTAACGATAACATCATACAGGAAGAATCACCATTCACACCTTTAGGCTTTAGATTTACTAAGCAACTATGTGGGTTTCTCCAATTGAAAATGTTCTAAGCAAGCTCAGAGAACTGAATGTTGTTATCTATATTGTTAGGGATAAACCCACTCCTAAATCCAATATTTGTCATCTCATTATGTTTTAGCTTGAGTCTTTTTTAGAACTGAAATTATTATTATTGCGCGTGAAGAACATGACGTTTCTTTAATTGATGATTGTAGCTGCAAATGCTAAGGGAATCTGTTTAAGGCGATCTAGGCAAAGGAGGATTATGACACACAGGACCATGTTGCTGCATTTTTGGTACAATTTTTTTTTTTTTTTCATTATGAACATTTGGAATTTGGAATGCCTTTAATGAAAAGAAGATATCTTCTTTAGTTTAGGGAAAACAGTGATTAATCATTTTAAACTTTACCTTTTTTACAAATAGGCACCATAAAATAAAATTTTATTTTATCTTAATTAATTTTTAAATTTTATCTTATTTGTAAACAGATATCATGAAATTTAATTTTGTTTCAATTAATCTCTAAACTTTATTTTTTTTATCTATAAACACTTTCAACTTTAATTTCATTCTAATTGATTTTGACATTTGATCATTTATTATTTTTACAAAGTTTTTATATTATCAATTTAGAGTTAAATTATTTATCTTAAATATTAATCATTCACTAATCTTTTTCTTTTTATGTTACAATTTTTTTTTGAAATACAATAAAAATATGAGTTTAAAAAAAAGAATGATAAAATCAATAAAAAAAGCCTTTATTTGATTTTTTCTTCTTCTAAATTATATGGTATTTTAATATATATCAAAATAAAACCAATATATGTGTATCAAAAAATTAGTAAATAAGTGTGATTTAAAATAAATAAACGATTGATATTTTTTTTATCTTATCAATTTACTCTCAATGTAATACAAGAGACTTGCAAAAAAAATTTTTAATCAAGACAAAATTGCAATCAAGGTGTTTATTTGTAAAAATGCTAAAATTTAAGGATAAATTATAATAAAATAAAAGTTCATAGTGTCTATTTGCTAACAAGACAAAATTTAAGGATCAATTAAAATAAACTTAAAATTTGTGGTATCTATTTACAAAAGAGGTGAAGTTTAAAGGTGCTAAATACTTTTTACCCTTTAGTTTATGAGTAATTTTGTAGCATTATATTTCATGCGAGTAGTAATTACATATAAAGAGGAGCATAAAAATGTATTAACCCGTAATGGTTCCTACATTTAATGGTTCAACTACAAGTTGTGAAAAGACATACAATTTTCTACCTAAGGTTGACATGCACATAAATCCTGGATATACAAGTGATAACTTATATACATAAATGTGTAAAGAAGGTTATCAATAACAGATAATGGTCTATGGTGGTAAGCCAAAAATCCGCCATAAACATATGGCGGATGGCGTGGTGGCTTATGGCAGACAAAATTTATATATATATATATATTAAAAACAAAACCATAAAAAAACAAACTTTTTGGATGCATGACTTTAGTGTTGGGTGCTTACTGCATACCATTGTGCTATAAGTAAAACAAAATTGGGAACAACGTTATAGGTTTAATATAGAAAACAACATAACAGAACATGATAATGAAATTCTAAAATATAGATAACTAAATTCCAAAATTTTAAAAAACTGAAAACAAAAACATTGAACAGATGAAGAACAAGAATCACATAAAATAAGAGAGACAGAGAGAGATGATGATGAACATATGAAGAAATGAAAAATAGATGGAAAAAAAACAAAGAAAAATAAAGAAATAGAAGGAAAAAGAAAAAACAAGCAGAAAACAAAAAGAACTCTTATGGGTCACCGGATTTGTTGGCCGAAAAACTTTATGGAGCTTACGCCCCTATGGTTCAGGTCGCTGGAGGCTGGTGGTCTAAGAAGGCTCACCATAGTTGTTTGTTCGCAATTTAGGAGCTTCACAAGAGAAAAGATGAGAAAAAAAAAGAGGATGAGGAGGAATTCGGCCATGAGCACCATGAAGCCATGGCCATGGCGGATATAGCGGGCGCCATGGTGAATATGGCGGGTTCCATGGCAGATATGGCGGACGCTGCTATATAATGGGAAATAACAGATAGCGAATGGTGGAGGGGTTCAAAAACTCCACGTTATACCTTTATGGCGGCACCATAACGGTTATTTGATAACATTGGCATCGACAACTGAAATTCTATACAAGACTATGTGTATGTATAGTAATTCGAAAACTATAATGTATAAACCTTGGTTGTTGGTTAAGCAACACTACAAAACTATTAATAAGGTAGCACCAAGCTACATTGCCAACAACATGGCTCACAAAATGCCTCCAACCTAACCTTGCCTTGTTCCCTTGTAAACATAATCATCGTAGTTCAACCACAAGGAAACATACAAGGGTAAGTTAGATTACAAAAATAAATATCATATAGCAAGTTGGGGTTCTTCATCATCTCTCCCTTCCTCATCTCCAGTGTCTTCATCTCCATCTCCTTCTTCTTGCTCAAACTGCTCCTCATCTCCTTCAGCTTCTTCCTCTTGCTCAGACTGCTCCTCCTCCCTTGGAAAGTTGGGGTTGTCCCCAAGCCATTGGAACTGCTGCTAAAACATCTCAGGGAATGGCCATTGAAAAGGAAGGCCCCATAAAATTGTTGTTGATGTGCATGGTACATATTACTATTAAAGGATAGAAGTGCCAAGTGATTTGCCAAATTTTGTTGCTCAATATGTTGAAAGTGAGCAATCATGAAAGTTTGTGTGGCAGTCTGAGGAGGTGGTGGTACTTGCCAATGCTTGTGGGTCCTCACTCTAGAGGTTTCAGGCTGATTGTCGCTCTTGCAATGAATTTTGATATAAGCAACATTAATTGGAGGGCGGATGGATTTGCTTAAGTGACTAGGAATCCGGGAACTAGCAGCTTGGCACAATCCCATGATAAGTCCCGGAAATCCCAAAGGCTTTGAGACACAAGTAAGAGGTGGTGTAGACAGAACAACCCGGTGAATCTCATCTGAAATAATAGTCGCCACATCCACTCCAGTCTTACTCAAAATAGAGTACAACAACGTTGCTCTTGGCATATTCGAGTCTTAAATATGAGACATGGGATAGATGTTGCAATACAAAAATTTTTGCCATATGTGAGCAAGAGTGGTCAAGTTCTTACGGAGTATCTTGACTTGGTTTCCTAAGACACCTAAAGTGTAAGTGCAACCAGGTAAACAAAGGAGCTTTGCCACTTCATCTGCTTTGAAACTGCAGGTCTTTTTCAATCTGCCATATCCATCCAGCCCATCACCTCCTAAGGAGTAAGGATTGTTTAGAAAATCATTAATAGCATCCCTATGATAGCTGACTTGAGCCCCTTTTAACCAACTTTAGAGCATTGACATAAAAATCCTTAATGATCTCCTCACTATATTTTTTTCTCCAGAGTTTCCAATTTAGTCCATTTTCTCCCTTTTAATTTATTGCTAAACTCATCATATTTCCCTGCATTCAGCTCCACCCTTCTTTCAGTAACTATCTGCCTAAACTCCAGCTCTAAGTACCTTTGTTGTTTAGACTTGGTGAGAAAACACTGCCTATCCATTTTGATTGTAGCTGTAGGTTGTGGAGGCGTCTGCTCATTTGACTCTGAGTCGCTAGGGGGTGGATTGGATGATGCCTGACCCTTTCTTTTCTTCCTTGCAGGGGTTTCATGGGTGTGAGAGGTAGTCTTGGTCCTTGCCATCTGCATTAGGTGACCAAAAGTAAGATAAATAACCATGAAAGCAACCATTACTACAAAATAAAAGTGTAGCATAAAAGGCCAAATAAAACAAAGGTATTTTTCCAAGCCCATGTTAAAAAGAGTCTACTCTCTTCTCACACTTTTCACATTCAACTTCTTTCTCTTATACCCAACTTCATCTCAACCGTCCTTCACAACACGTTCACTTAGTCTCCTTGTTTTCTTCTTTTCCACACACCATCACTCTTCTAGATTCAAGGTAAGTTTTCAAGTTTTCTCTCTCTCTACTCTCTCTTGATTTCTTTTGTGCTTCCATGCAAATATTGATATGCATGCCCTAGTTAGGGTTCTTTGCTGTCTATCTCACTCTCAATCACATTCTCATTTTCACTCTTATCACCATCAACGAATTTCAATGCATGCCCTAGGTTTCAAGGATCAATTTTTATTATTAGGGGTTTATGGGTGAATGATATGATTGATATAAAAAATTTGTTGTTTGTGCTTCATTAATACCAAATTGTTTGTTGTTGAGCAAATTACTTTTGGTACTACAGTGGATAAACTTGGAAAATCATTGTATGACTTGCAAGGAATAATTATGAGAAAAAGAGAAAAATTTTAGCCCTTGCACTCAAAGGGCTCAGCCGTTTTTTGGCCAAAGCGCTTAGCCCTTTTAAAGGGCTGAGCCATTCATGTGTTGCTCTGTTTTCATTGGCTTTTATACTACACTTTTATTTTGTATTAATGAACACTCTCCTGGATTAATTATTCTATTTCTGGTCACTTAATGCAAATGGAAAGGACTAAGACTACCTCTCACACCCATGAAATCCCTGCAAGGAAGAAAAGAAAGGGTCAGGCATCATCCAATTCACCCCCTAGCGGCTTAGAGTTAGATGAGCAAACGCCTCCATAACCTACAGCTACAATCAGATTGGATAGGCAAGTTTTCTCACCAAGTCCAAACAATAAAGGTACTTGGAGTTGGAGTCTGGGCAGATAGTTACTGAAAGAAGGGAGGAGCTGAATGCAGGGAAATATGATGAGTTTAGCAATGAATTAAAAAGGAGAAAATGGACTAAATTGGCAACTCTGGAGAAGACATATGGTGAGGAGATCATTAAGGAGTGTTACATCAATGCTCTCCCCTTACAGAGTCAGGATCAAACACGAAAAAGTTGGATAAAAGGGGCTCAAGTTAGCTATCATAGGGATGTTATTAATGATTTTCTAGACAATCCTTACTCCTTAGGAGGTGATGGGCTGGATGGATATGGCAGATTGAAAAAGGCCTACAGTTTCAAAGTAGATGAAGTGGTAGAGCTCCTTTGTTTACCTGGTTTCACTTACACTTTAGGTGTCTTAGGAAACCTAGTCAAGATACTCCGCAAGAACTTGACCACTATTGCTCGCATATGGCAGAATTTTTGGTATTGCAACGTCTATCCCATGTCTCATATTTCAGACTTGAATATGCTAAGAGCGACGCTATTGTACTCTATTTTGAGTAAGACTGTAGTGGATGTGGCCACTATTATTTCAAATGAGATTCACCAGGCTATTCTG